GCGGGTGGTGACCAACAAGCTGCACGATGTACTCGGCGGCGAGGTAAAGAGACATTAGCATGGCGAAGCACATTCGAGTTTGCGGCTTCCTCGTGGTCGTGACAGTAACAATTCGTGCGCTTTTTTTTTTTTTTTCTTTTCCCCCCCAGAAGCCAGAACCAAATAACTCGCAACCAGCGCTCAAAGTGGAGCAGCAGCAACCGTCCAGCTCTTTTGTAGATTGCGTCACGGTCGCACTAACTGCTGAGAAGAATGATGATGAAGAGGAAGAAACTAAGACAACAGACGGTAACTTTAATCATCGCTGCTCAAAGGGGTGTCGAACATTACCAGTCAGATTCAGTAGGAAATGAACCTGGGGAATTTTGGAAAGATACGCATCAATTTTTGAAGAGACAAATCTTGGGACAAAAACAGCCCGATTGTCTTGGCGTGTGCCCGACCCCAAGTTGACGTTTTGTCTCTCCAGTGTCCACGGACTCGCCAAGGGAGAGCATATTCAGCGAGAACAGTGCCTTCACACGCCTGCCTGTCACCCCGAAAAAAAAGAACCCCGTGGCGCGGGAGTTTGATGAAGACGAAAAGGAGGAGCAGAGCGGCGTGCCAGAAGTGCTGGCCCACCTGAGCGACACGGTCACAGAGCTCGTCGGCGCCCTCGAGTCCGTGCAGCGACAGAAAGACGCTCGGGCGGAGGAGCTGCAACACGCCGCGTAAGTAGACAAAGTAGTCATTTCATTGCTCTTTGCCAAATATTTTTATTGGAATGAGTGTACAGTCAGTCATCCCTCGGTTTTCGAACATCTCTGTTCTCGACCAAATCGGTTTTCGACCAGAAAATTCGAGATTTTTACGCCTCGGATTACGACCGAAATCGGTTTTCAACCAAACTAAGCGAATCCGAATACGCCACTCGACTCCTCTCGGCTTCCTTACACGAGGAAGTGACGCTTCCTCATGTAGCGTTCATTGTGAGCAGATTATATTGGGAAACTTGGTTTCGGATTTCGAACAAATCAATTTTCGAACAGCCTTCTGGAACGGATTATGGTCGAAAACCGACGTATGACTGTATCTCACTTTTGAAGGTTCTGAACGTTACGGCTTGCGATCTTTTAGCGGTTTGAAATGGCGTCACTTCAGTTTCCAAACGAAGATACCAACTTTTTGATTTCAAAAAGAAAACGAAAATTGACATTATGTATTCTATTTTTATTTCATTGCGTAGATTGTTCCAGAGCACCATAGTTGACGATGCACTTTCAGCCAAGGGTACAAACAGTCAATCACACAAATACAAAATGAAAACACTTGCAAGTAGCATGGGGGCAACAAATATAACCATGGCCGCCCCACATAAAGGCACAAGCTACAGACCAATGTTACTACAGCGTGTATCCACGTTACTTTTGGCTTACAATTTAAAAGGAAAAAAAAAATTCATTTCTGTACATTACAATAAAGGGCTATTAGTATTTATCAAAAGCATGTACCATTAAAAAAAAAAAAAAATCATGTTGGCACATCAATTCATTTCACGTGTCAAACATTGAATTTGTTAAGAGCTTTGTCTCGCAACGAATTGTACGCGCGTGTATTTAAGTGCTCGTCTTCCTTCCAGCTGCAGCCTGGAAATGGCGCTGCAGGACACAAACAGCAAGCACAGGGCGGAGGTGTCCGAGCTGAAGCATCAGCTGAGCTGCCTGCGTCGGCAGGCCGAGCGCCGAGAGCAGGCACTGCAGCAGCAAGCTCAGGTTGGAGGCGCCGGCCCCTCATTTCCGCATGGCGTTCGGAAAGCGTTCGCCGTGCCTCGAAATCACCGTTGACAGGCCTGCGGTGCCGAATGCGACGACGGAATTCTTTCTCTCCCCATGACAGGATTCGAAGATGATAACCAAGCTCATGAATGATGTCACCGAGGCCCAGGAGCTGATGCTCAAACACAGAATTGAATATAATGTAAGAACCCTAATCTATCCCTCATCGAGTCATGTTTCAAGCGTAATAAACTTTTCTTTCACCCCCACTAACAGGAGTTGCGTAAGGAGACGACGGAGCTGTGTCGCTCACTCCAGCAGAGTGAAACGGAAATTCAAATCCTGCGCGCCGAGCTCAGGAAAGCCGGCACGCAGACGACCGGCGAGGTTGATGAAAAGGAAGAGAAACTCCTTTTGTTAAAAGAGGTACAGTGTGGCCATGCTGGCTTGGTGATTCCCTTACAGGTTGCCACGGCAGCCTGTTGGGCTGCAAGATATCATCAGGGGTGCCCTGTGGGCGGGAAAAAATGCAATTCCACTTTAGCTAGCCTGCTACGCCTACATCCCTCCCCAAAAATCGCATATTCAGCTCATCATATTTAAGAGCAGAGTTGGGTTTTTTTTTTCACTTGCATTTTTTTTTCTTTTCCATCCATCCATCGATGCATCCATTTTTCTAATCCGCTTTATCCTCACAATAGTCGGGGCCGTTCTGGAGCCTATCCCAGCTGTCTTCAGGCAGTAGGCGGGATACACCCTGAACCGGTCACCTGCCAATCGCAGGGCACACAGAGACGGACAACCATCCGTGCTCACGCTCACACCTAAGGACAATTTAGAGTGTTCAATCAGCCTGCTACGCATGTTTTTGGAATGTGGGAGGAAAGCGGAGTGCGCAGAGAAAAGGCCTGGGGAGGACATGCAAACTGCACTCAAGGAGGCCGGAGCTGGAATTGAACCTGGTACCTCTGCACAGTGAGGTCGACGTGATAACCACTGGGCCGCCCTATTATTTCTATTATTATTATTCTTAATTTTATTTTATTATTTTAATTATCATTCAAATTAAGCTGGGTGTTCCCTGTGGTGAGTTCTGCACATTTTTTACATGACAGGGACTTTAAATATTCGTCCATTAGATGGCAGAAGTGAGAATAAAGCTTGGTGTCCAGTCCACCTGTCGCCATTCATCCAGCAGAAAAAGTCCCGGCTTCTTGCGAGTGGATCAGCTGTGTGTTCAATTAAGCAGGCCCAAATTTCACACGGAATAAGTCCATTTGTGAGGAAAAAAAAAGAAAAATTCTTAGGGTGCCAGTTAAGGTCACAAGCAACGCAGCTTGAGGAGATTTCATGTGTTACGGTCGGATGAAAACAACTGGCGCTGAGAAAATGTCATTTTCTCCTGTCTCACTTATCGACTCATTTTCACGCAATCATCTGTGCCTGTACCTGTCTCCTTCCTGTCCTATCCACAGGTGGAGCGACTGAAGACGAGCCTTCAGGAAACGGAGCAGACCAGAGGCAAATTGCTCGAACGGGCAAAGCGACATGTAAGTGCACGACACACGCACACGCACATGTCAAACCGTGCACCTGACACAAAATGCGCGCTCGCCATTCATCCGCCGAGAGGATTTTCTTCGTGCTCACCGTGTGTCTCGGCCTCGCTGCAGCAACAAATCCAGCAAATCAACCAGCAGAAATGCGAGAACGAGGTGCGGATGTTGAACAACATGATGAATAAAGTCCGGGAGGTATGTGGCCCTTCCTCCTCGCCTCGTTGTTTGTCGCAAACTTTTATTTGATCTTTTTTTTTGTCCTTTTCCTTGTAGACGTTGCTGTCGTTGCCCGAGGTGGTGAAGAATTGTGAGCAGCTACAGCAGCTTTTAGAATATTTAGGCTGACATTTTTTTTTTTGTCTATGTTCATGAAGTATAGTATATGTACATGCGCTGCCTTTTCTGTCCCCTTCAATGTTTTGAAATGTTCACTTTGTTTCACACACTTTTTATGCACTGTTATTGGTAAATAAATATAGAAACTAAAACATGGCATCATCCATAAGGCGTATTTCGTTGTTCCGGTGTATTCAACACAGGTTTATTTGAGTTTAGTTAGACAAACAAAATCTGAAAAAGCAAAAAAATGATTCGCATTTTAGATTGAGGTCGCATTTATTTTGTATCAACCCCGCATTTAAAATTATTAGAAAGTGGCAGTGCTAGTTTTCATTCCCGTTTTTACATTTTGAATTTTGAAAAAAAAGTTTTTTTAAATGCTTGAAGTCATATGGGTATTTGTCAACCAATTTTTATTTTTTCTACTTTTGAAGATTATATGACATCACTTCTGGCACAATTCGACTACACGTGGTGTCCAAATTTACATCAAGCTTGTCCTTTGCTTCGGTTAATGCGGGCCACTGAGGCTCCATGGGGCGGAGCCTTTGGATTCATCGAAGGACCCAGCCTGCAAATTGTCTTTCTAGAATTTGGAAACCGCGTGCGGTCGAGTTGCGCCGGATATAACATCACGCAGCCTTCAGAGGACGCAACCTGTCCCTGTGAATTCGGACACAATTATTTTGCGGGCCCCTGAGGGTCTGGGGGAGGAGGGGCACAGTTTGAGAACCATGGAGCAATATATTTCGTGCATTTGTCAGTCCCACCACATTTTTAAAATGTAAGATTCCATTGCATTCCACTCTTGGAAAAAAAAATCACAATTCAGCCCCCGTCTGTCACTGCGGCTTCTTTCCCAGGCACGTAATCAAGAGTGTCACGCTAACGAAGTGCTTCTCTTTCAGGTCTCATCTTGTCTGAAGTGAGACACAGTGACTGCACTGGGCTGAACTACCACATTAGAAATGTGGTTGCATTGCTTGAGCAGATTAGCCTTAAGTGTTGAGGCAGTTGCGAAAGCCTGGCTCCAGACGCCTCTTCAAAAGCGGCTGGGCTGAAACGGCACAGAAAGAAAGAATTGCAGACACCAACTCAGGCCTTTTTGAGAAATCCAGTTTAATTTAGACGTTGTCCTCTTAAAAAAAAAAAAATGTCTGACACAATTTCTAAAATAATTGTCTTTTTTTTTTTTTTTTTTTTTGCAACAGCACGCATACAACGTTCTTCATACAAGCCACTTATTGCAAAGCCTTTGACCATCAAGCCCAATAACTTAAGAAAAAAAAATTAAACCTGAAAAAAAATCGAGAAACATTTTGTCATATATCTTTTTTTTTTTTTTTTAACTTTCAAGTCATTTTAATTGCTGAATGAATGTAGGTTGTATTTTCCAGGCTCTATTCATTAAAAGAAAAAAAATGTTTAGAATTCATTATTCTGTTCCTTAAATTAGCCTAAAATGGCAAAGCCAAGCAAAAAAAAAAAAAGACCCCCTAAAAAAAAGTCCCATTTGAAAATGAAATTTTGTCCACATATTTATCTTTGCTTAAGCGAAGGACATTCTTTGTTTTAAGATTTTTGGACGACTGCCTTTGATTTGTCTGCTTGATGGCGCCATTTTTCCACATTCAAAGCATGCAGCATAAATGTCCACCCTTTTAATGTTTTCCGACTGTAATAAGAAGTGAGTGTGGCTATCAGTGTTGCATAGCAGGTTGTATTCAATAAGTATAATTCCAATTTGCCAGAGTATTAATATAAAAGAACTAGAATGGTAATTTCTGGACCTAAAAAAAAAAAAACCCCACCAGACCAGGAAAAATAAAAAGATTTACTTTTTATGACCAAAAAAGAAAAAAATCATTGGAAATGCTTTTTATGATCCCACATTTATATTATAAAAGATATCCAAGTGCAGTGGTTTATATTTTCAATTTGGACTGTGTTTAATGTGTCCTCCAGCTGACGATATGTTTTCTACCATTCAAAGCATGCAGCGAAAATTTCACGCAGTTTTTACCGTTTCAATGATCAAACTCTCAATGTTGGATGTTTTGTGTGTTGAAAAGAAAATCATGTGTTTTCATCTTCAATTTCATAACTTCATCCGTCTTATCTCTAAGAAGTCCGCATTCTACATGATAATCAAATTCACTCAGTAAATGTTTCAAGATACGCTGAAGTCGTTTTAAAACAGGTCGTCATTTTCCGTTGAATCAAATTTAACGGGATGCTTGTGCCTCGGCACACGTGTGCAGCATCTTCACGTATAACCATGTAGAGTCCTTGAAGTTACGATTTCATTTTGGTCTGTTGACTTCATTTTAACATTCGAAGCATGCAGCTAAACTTCACAATATTTGTGGTTAGCGATTTCAAAGGACCTCTTGAGGATTAAACGGAATCAAAACGTGTCCATCGAGGTGCTCACGCGCTGACGACGCTATTATTTACACTTGCGTGCCGCGAAGAGGCCATTATCTACGTCCGGCTCACCATGACCAACGTGGAAAAAAAAAAGGGTTTGTCAGGTTCAGTTGACAAATCACGGTGTCCTCAGGAATGCATAAAGAAATATGTGACAGAAGTGTCTCTCAATAGATGTACTGGAGTGTGACGTTAAACCGCATCCAACTCGAGTGGGAAGGGAGTTGGGTTAGCAAGTCCCAGCTAATGTCTTCCAAAGTATTCTTTGTGACTGGCACGGTCAGTGGCATTAAACTGAGACGTATCGGGCGAATAGTAAAACCGAAAATAAATGTACTTCCTGGTGAATAAGTCTTGGTATGATCCGAGTCTCGGCCCACTGCTGGAAATGGCTTCTTGAAGGGCATCAGACCAGAAAACCTTTGCTATGATTGGAAATGATGATACGGGTATCCAAACTGCAGCCCGCGGGCCATTTGCAGTAAGCTGACTGTTTTTAGGGGGCCTGTGACAACATTACTTTTTGAGATGACCCCGTGTCGTTTATCCGCATTGCACTTTCAATGCTGGTCGGAAAGGCAGAAGTGAGAATGCTCATACGTTGCTTTGAGATGGAGCTTGTCTCGATTTACAAAAATCTACGACCTTCTCCCTAAAAGCTCCCAAAACTATTTGACTTTTGCGTTATCATCTAGCTTTTGAAACATCTAAATGCTTACACCGATACAATTCCTTAGCATATCTTTTCCCGACACTAATGTACTGGTTTTGGCTTGTCAAATAAATTAAAAATGAGGAATGTGAAAGGGGCCATCGTGTCCTTCCAATTTCCTGTATTCGTAAGTTTGGACGCCACGGAATGATGATGTCCTTGTCGAGAATCTTGAGGGACAGAGATGAAAAGGCGCCGGAAGAAAAGCATCTCTCAAGTAGTAGTACCTTTACAGGGTGCTTATCTGCTGTTAGCCGTCAAATAGCGGACACAAACCTGTCCATGTTCCCGGTATAGGACGGGTGTCGCAGGTAACCCCCTGCGGTGGCACTGTTGTACTGGGAGAAAGACCCCAGCTGCACTGGCGAGACCCTGCCGTAGGGGTCCGTCGTCTCCCCTGAGGAGCCCAGGCGACCGGCGGCGGTGTACACTTGGCCGTGGCCTTGTCCGTAGAGGCCCTGGGGGGTGGCGTGGTGGTGGTGCGGTTGACCGCTGGGTCCGGAATAGGCGAAACCCGGGTGCATGGAGGAGCGGGGCGGGGCGGCCCCTCCGCACGTCTGGTTCTGGAAACCCGGCGGTGCCATGCTACAGGGGCTGGATCCGTTGGGGATCCCCTCGGGGGTGAAGCTACGGCCCGGTTGCTGCATTCCGTCCGGCCCCTGCGCTCCCAGCATGCCGCCCGGAGGTCCGATTAGGTTGTTGATACTGAACATGCGAGTCTGAGCCGGGCCGAAGCCGGGCGGTGACGGGGAAGGGTAGTAGGACGAGGGGAGCTGCTGCCCGTAGGACGGGCTCAGGGTCATGTTAGGGTACACGGCGTTGGAGTAAGCTGCCGACCTGGTGATCTGGACCGGCGCGAAAACCGGATTCTCGTGTGCATACGAGGCGTACGTGCTCAGGTCGCATCGCTTGAAGCGCTTCCTGCGCCGCAGAAAACTTCCGCTCTCAAACATGTCCTCGGCATTCGGGTCCAAGGCCCAATAGTTGCCCTTCCCCGGGCGCCCCGGCTCCCGGGGGATCTTGATGAAGCAGTCGTTGAGTGTCAAGTTGTGACGGATGGAGTTCTGCCACTTCTTGGAGTTGTCCCGGTAGAAGGGGAAGCGCTCCGTGATGAACTTGTAGATGCCGCCCAATGTCAGCTTGCGGTCCGGGGAGTTGGCGATGGCCATGGAGATCAGGGCGATGTAGCTGTAGGGCGGCTTGCCTCGCTGCAGGGGTCTTTTCCTGCGTCGACCTCGGGGCTGATCCTCCGGAGGGTCGGCAACCGCCGAGGATGCGTCCGCCGGAGCATCTTTCTCCACTTTGACCACCGGCATTCTCTTTGGCTCCTCCAGAAGGCCTGCAAAAGAACAAATCACAAGGTGAGCCTGCGATCGACAGGTACCAGGCTCCCAATCCTAACGAAGCGATTTTCTGAACATGACTTTGAGGCTGAAATTTTGGGGGGTTGTGTTAAACTGTTAAATCACTCGTTTAACTCACATTACAGCAAGTAAACAGATGACGCTGGCTAACATGAGTTGTGGCAGCAGCTTGAGAAAAATCAAGACCGTCTTTCTAGCACCTTGCATTAACTTTTTAACTAAAACTTTCCCAGTCGTGGGCTCCCTAGCGTCTGCCTGCAAATGGAAAAATCGCAATGAGAGGGCGAGCGGGGAGATCCTTGGGTGACGTGCGGAGAACCGAAACCAAACGCTTCTCCTCATTCCCCCCTCGAGAGATTTGATACCAGAATCCAGTGTGTCCTCTCCTCCTCGGGCCTTCATTATGACTGTCTAATTGATAACGCTGACATGAAGCTTCAGTAGATGCGCGTTCCAAACTTGACGAAAGTCCCAGTAGGACAAAGCAAGACGTCGTCTATGTCACGTGGAGGAAATTTGGGAGACGATTGACGGCAACTCACGGTCTGTGTCCAAATCCAGGGCTTGTTTCCCAAGGCGGTCAAACGAGTTCGGCTTTCCCGGCGGTGCGATCCTGGCGCATTCGAGCTCCTTCCCACCAACGTCTTCTGAGGTCAGGTGGAACCGGTGAGCCCTGCGTCCTCCATGCGTGGCGTCTGAGGTGTGTTTGAGAATGACTCATTGTGCTGCCTGGGAGGCATTACCTCCGCCGTGAGTACCTGAGGGGCCACACCCCCCCTTGTGCGAGCATCACATGCTCCTCGCATGCCTCTTTCGCTATTGTGTCCCTGCACGCTGACGGACACGTCTACATCAACAAATGATGTATGAATATCTTGAAATGTCTCCCAGTGAGCCGTAGAAACTTGCCATTTTGTCATGTTTTCCCACAGTGGTTAAAGTTTGTGCATCATTTGATATACCAAATTGAGAGATGGGTGTATTATACGGGGGTCGAATAAGAAACACATTTTGTAGCCATTTAACAGTACCGAGGCAGTACTTAAGGGTCGTTTAAGAAAAGTAAAAGAAAAAAAAATCACTGATTTATAGCGCAAGAAAAGACTTGGGCACCGCCTATTTAGAGGATTCGGTTTGTTACTCTTTGCAGCTTTAATTCCTCATGATATGTAAATCCCACTTCAGTTTATTTTTTAAAAATGGGGTCTTGTTTTTTCAAAGCCGCGGTCCTAAGTGACCTCTTCAGCGGCAAGTTACGCCGCGTGTTGTTCTACGCGGCTTGCCTTGTTTGCTTTGGCCCCACGCTGAAACAAGGCAGCTGCATTTGAGGGATGTAAATGCACTGTTTTTGTTTTTCAAACTGTGATTTCAGCATGCAAACTTCAGGCCACCAAAAGAGATTGTTCTTTTAACATGTGTGTGTGTTTGGCAGAGTTATCTAAAAAACAAGTTAGATTCCATCCACATTTATTTGTTTGTTTGTTTGTTTTTTTTTTTGGGGGGGGGCAGGGGGTGGCAGCATATTAAAGCACCAACATGTCCAACCAAACTACCGGACGGAAGTCTGCTATCTTAACGCTAACATGCAACACAAAACTGGGCGAATGGAAATTAGCAGAGATGTATACGGTAAGCTAGCTTCTTCGAAGTTGGTTCTTTTCCTTAGTCCATGTAAACGTACCACCTGGGCGCAGTTATTTGGACCCAACAAGGATGGGCTTCAGCGCCTTAATCCCTAAAACAAACAGCGATGAATACGGCCCCAAACCTCTCATCGCCACCGCCGCGAGTTCGGGCGAGCGCGTGCTTGGAGAGCGCCGACCGAGTTAGCCGCCGATGAAAGGTTCAGTCGTTCGGGTCGGGTGCCGCCTCGACGGGTATGTGGTCCACACGTACGATGCAGTACGTCGGAGTTCTGTCGTCAGTGTTTCCCAAACCGATGTACATTCAATTAATTCATTTCAGTGACGAAATATTGTTACAAATATTTGACATGTCTTAACACTCATACGTAAGCAATGAATGAAATGGTTCCGTTGAATATTGTAGACATTTCCTTGTCTCTTGGGTTAGCATGCAGTATTTCGCCCATTTTCTCATAGTTGGCGTCGTCCCGGAAAATCAAGATTACGAGTTGTTTTTCGTGATATTATTTTTCCCTCATAAAATTAGGACTTTATTTTTGTAAAATTGATGGATTTCTGATAAAATTATGAATTGAAATGTGTTTTTATTTATTCATGAGCGAGTACCGATACCATGTATCAGTATCGGGCCTTACTTTAAGGTATCGGATACTTGCGGAGGTGATTTTGGTCTCAAATTGGTGGTTTTCTTGTAAACTTGTTCGTTTTTCCAAAGAAATTGAGCTTTTGTCTTGTAAAAGCCGCACTTTCCCATGTATTTTCGCATACTTTCATTTGTCATTTACAAGTTTTTTTTCTATTACAGTTTAAAAAAAAGTAAAGTAATAATTTTATACTGTCAAAATATTCACATTATTTTGCACAAATAAAAATTGGCTGTATTGAATATCTATCTATCTATCTATCTATCTATCTATCTATCTATCTATCTATCTATCTATCTATCTATCTATCTATATGTTCAACAAATTAAAAAGCAAATTGTGTGCTATATGTCCTTATTAAGCAATTATTTATTGAATTAAACTTATTATTTAATTAATGGTATATTCAAGCATCGAATCAAAATTCAAACGGTGCATGTTGTTCCTCAGAATATTAATGAACACACTAAGAATAAAACCGTTCGTTCTTGATTCTGCGTACTACACTATTGTAACATTTGTCACGATGGTGGCACGAAGTAATTTATTTAATTTTTTGTTGGGACTTGATGTAAATGTTTGAGCACCACTATCATCTGCGTATAATAACCAGTGACCAAATGTACACACAATTAACACCACAATGGCACAGTCCAAACAACTCCGGTTGCAAATTTCACACCAATAACAGGTTTTCTGTTTCCTTAAGCCGCGTGTAAACATTTGGAATGTTCGTCCTCCTCGCTTGCCATAATACGCGTTTGATTGTGTGCTTGCTTTGGCGTTTGACAGCCGTTTGACAGGCGTTTTTTTGCCGTCCGTGCCTCACCCTTGGCCCTAAGACGGCTTCTTATGCTCGGTGGCAGCGAACAATTGAAGCTGACTCATTTCCCAGCTCGCTCATGCTCATATTTGCTATCGTTTGCTCATGCCTCAGCGTTTGGCCACCGTACAATGTGTGCACTTGATATTTGCCCATGAGCTTCTTTATCTCCTGCTCTGCGCTGCCACATTAAAATATGAATTTGGCACCACTGCGAGGTCAACAACAACAGCGTGTCCTTGTGCTTTCATGATAAGGATGACAGATGGGCATTGGTATGCTGAAAAGCGTCACGTTTTGTTCGTGAAACAATTTTATATATATATATATATATATATATATATATATATATCCATTTGTAAAACGAATATATATTTTTTTTTTTCGGGTTGACAAACTAAAATGCTTTTACTGCTCAGTATTATCGTATTTAAGTGGCAACAAACGGTATTTTATAAAAGTAGAAATTAAAACTAAAATCACATTTAAATGGTTACTTGATTCATATTAAAATATATTTTTAAAATTCATCTCTTAGTTATTTTGCATTGCATTGAATTTGAGTAGAAAATGAAAATAAAATAGTTGTAAAAAAACAATACTGCCATGCAATCATAAGAAATAATTGTACCGTATTGGAATTTTTCTTTTTTTTGTTAAATACAAGTAACCTAATGCTGATCTCTTTCCTGTCGCCGTTCTTCGTCATGAATCATGTTTGTTTTAAAATTGAAAAGACAACTAAAATGAATTCTAAAATTAACCCTTTGAGGGACAGCCGTTACTACAGTGGACCGCTTCTCATGTGATCAGGTCCAGGGTTAATATTTATGAAAAAAAAAGAATCATATTAAAAATAATTGTAATTTTATTTTTCAATCAATACATGATCCATTTTATTAGATGACTATTTGCATAAAATTATAATTACCAAGTGGTACAAGTAATGAATGAATCTGTTTCGTGTCGCCGAATAACATAAGTAGCAAATGCGGATCAGGTAAAGATGGCAATTGACCGTGCATGCTGTGAAGGCCCTTATCGGTGTGTGGCGGCATCACTGAGGCATGATTGCAGACAAGCCTGGGCCAGCCCTCGACTCCAGTTGAAGATGATCTTTGGCATTTGTCAATGTGATGAGGTCTTCTTCACAAAGAGATCTTGGCGTCAGTCAAGCAGAGAAAACCGGGGGCTGGATGGGAGGAGGTGAGGAGAAGGGGTAGTGCGAGGATGGGAGGTGGGGGGGGGCATCGGAGGGCCTCCGGCTGCCCGTCACGAGACGCAAATAGTGGCTTCACGGTGGGGTGGGGTGGTGGTTCTCTGGCCCCGTGCTGCTTTTTTGACTTTGGGCCGGCGAGAAATGCTCTCTGAGCAAACAAAGGCAAACAAATGAGCTATTTGAATGTCAACACTTGCACTTGGACAATGTGACAGACAGACGTACGCTCACAGGTGCCGCGATGCTTGGCCGACCACGGAATCATACAAACAAATGTACACACACACACACACAATTGTGTTTAGCTTTTTCTTTGCCTTTTTTTCTGACATGTTTCTGTCCTGGCTACTGGCTAAGTCTTGTTTTTTTTGGGGTGGGGGGTGATTTGTGATGACATCATTTCAGAAGGGAATGATGATCCAACAATTGAACAACTGATTATGATTGAAGGCATCGAGGTAGCCCGAGGCTTCTATTCAATGAGTGTCTAAAGCACTTTGTCAAAGTATAAGTGATACTTCCACTTACGAAATTAATTGGTTCTGGAAGAAATTTCTTAAGTAGAAAATTTTGTAAGTAGAGACGCGTTTTACATGTAAATGCCCTAATCCGTTCCAAGCCCCCCAAATTCAGAGATAAATGTTTTATGAAGCATAAAAATACATCAAAATATGTAACAAATACATGTTGCTATTAGATTATTGAACAATAATGTTAAAAAAAAAGAAAAAAAAGGAATAAAGAATAAAAATGATGGTCATTTAACTTTTGACTGTGTCCTCATCGTTTTTTGCCCTCTTTAGTTCCTGTTCTCTCTCAGAAATGGTTTTTGCCTGGCATTTTGTAAAGAACTGATCCAAGGACATTTGCTTTTGTTGCCTTTTAGCAATCCTTTGAAAATGTCCAAGGCAAACATCTGGTGAACACTTTTTCTGGGTGATTCACATTTACGTAAAACTATCGGAGCCCTCATGGCCCAAGGGGCGAATGACGAGGACGTTGCATAGACACAGATCTATTTATCTACACATATAGACACTACAGTAGAGGTCCCTCTTAGCCAATGGGATGCCAGGAAGATCCTGGGTAATAGCCAATGGCAGAGCAGCTCTAAGTATGTTGCGTTCAGGAACCTCGGAACTGCGGCAAGCAGCCCATACTGTATTTTTACCTTTCGTTTCTTGACATTTCTTTCATAACAAGAGGCAATATTTTCCTACTGAGGCGTTTCCTAACTTGAAAATTTCGTATGAAGAGACGTTCGTAAGTAGAGGTACCACTGTACATAAGAAACATTCCCCGAAGTACTTTTGTACAGCTCAATTTTATTTAACTTTATTACAGGTATTCTCATTTTTCTCATTAATTTCGGGCTAGCTGGTAAATGTTTCATTTAGTGTGAGGAGCGCGTGTACATGCACGCGTGTGTCTGTGTGCGAGTGCGTGTTTGCATTAGCGGCTACAAGGTCTTGTTGCAGATGCAAAGTCTGACGGTTGACTTGCTCCCATCCCAGGGCCAGTTTACATAACTGAAGAACGAAGCACTGCAATGGCCACACACAGCCTGCCGTTAAATCGCTATTTACAAAACCTCAATTCCAATGAAGTTGCGGCGCTGTGGAAAACGTTGAAATGGAAGACAATGATTTGCATATCCTTTTCCGCCTGGGTTCAATTGGAAACATG